CAAATTTCTAAGCATCTCTGCATTATTTTATTCTCATCTGATAGTGTAATAGTAATAATATTGCTGAACAAGGCTTGTCTGGCTTTTGTAGATGAATATTCATGGATTGTTTGGTCATGACCCCCTCTTGTCTTATGGTTGTGGCATCTCAAATTTCTTGGTGACCTCAAATACAAGTGCTAATGAGGTTTGGAGCTCTTCTGTTGGTGAGATAGGATTCATTCAGAATGAAGGGTCCTTTTAACCTGAATGAGGTGAATTCATCCATGTTTCCCATTATTTTCCTCTTTACTTTTGTAAAGCAGTTAGTCAGAATGGCACTTTTTCACATTTATTGCCTTGTGGCAGCACCTCAATAATGTACTTGGTGAAAAGATCCTTCTCTGAACTCTTAGATCAGGTTGCATCACACTTACTGTCTTGACATCACCATCTCTGCAGGTACCCATGTTTTGTAGACACCAGAAACTCAGTCCATTTTAGTTTTTCATGGAAAATGCTAGCAGGATACTGAAGAACAGACAGGAAAAGTGTCTCAACAGTGTCTTCTAGTCTCCTTTATATTAGCAAATCCTGTTCTAGACATATGTAACATGTGGAGGGATGAGATATAAAAAATATCCATATTGCATATAGTTATAGATCTAGTACCCTAGACAAAAGAGTAACCCCTCTGGTTCAGGAGATTGCTGAGCTATAGCTTGTAGTAGTTGGGAAGAATATTCTGATGAGGGGTTGTCATTGCCCTGGTTTTGTATTCCTTGCTGGGCATCTATTCCTGGCTTGTTCTGGTGATGAGTTACTAGGTGAAATGGATGCTTTGACCCAGCATAGTTGTTCCAGGAGAAAACTCTTACTTTTTAGGATGAGGTGGTTATTTTAATTTTTTTCAGTTGTGGATTTTACTATTATATTTTATTCAAGTTTCCCTTTCTTAGCCTTGGTTACTTTACACAGCCTAGCCTTCCTAATCAATGCTCAATCTCAACATACCATGGTCATACGTAACTAGTGGCTGCTGTAATGTATTGAGTTGATAGCTTCATGTCACAGAAAATTAGGCTAAATTAAGGGTAGCCTTTTTACTGGTATGCTCTAGAATTCAAATTTTATGACAGAAAATGTGCCAAAATTAGAGCATGTAAGTGTAGGAAATGAGTTGTTTTATGTTGTTCACTTTTATTGCTCTCAGGCTTATCCACTTGATGTCTATGCTCTGACATACTGGGCTCTTATTTTTAGAATTTTTACCTATTTTTCAACCTAAAGAATTGCCATTTATTATACAGGTAACTAATTTGGAAAATGGGTTTTAATATCCACTTTCCAAAACTATTTGACAAATTTGGACTTAATTGTAGAAGTAAGTAATTATCAAGTGTCAGGGTTCCTGTAACATTTTGAAGTTAATTTGAAAATTTGATTGAGGAGTTATGATCATTATAACAATTTACTTTAGATACACTGATGACCTGGGATGCTTTGATATCCCTGTAAAATATCACCACCTTACTGTCATATCACCTTATTCAACATAAAGAATGGATTATTTAATCTTCAAAAGCTTGTGCATGGAGGCTTGAGTTGCAGTCAGTTTTTATTTCTGCAATCAGTTTAGCGTAAGATGCAGGGCAAAACTGCTGCAGAGATTGTAGCTACTATTTTATTTATACTAATCCATATTACTCAGAAAAGATAGAAATTAGTTAGAATTAAAAGCTTAGATTTTCTGTAGCTTAATGACACTCACCTGAGAGGGGCTTATATGTGCACAGGGAAGGAGGATTTTCAAGCTTCTGTAGAAAGATCAAATAGCAAATTTGCCAGGTATGTAAATTTGGTTTTCTGTTATAAGATGGAACACAATATGAGATTATATTCAAGATCTTGGGGGTTGGACTAGATGTCCTGTATAGGTCCCTTCCAACCCAATACATTCTGTGATTCCATCTTTAATGCATGTGAGCAGTAAAAATTTAGAAGCTAGTGCACAGAAATATTGTGAAATTATGTTGCAGAGAAATGTAATGTAGAAAGCCAAAACAACCCAAAAGGAAAAACAACAACCAAAAAAACCCCAGAGTAATTGTTTTCATAATCTGATTACAAAATTTCCCTAAATTGCATGAATTCACTGTTTTCTTCTAGCCTTGGCAGGCAGCTTGTTTGCTGCCATATAAGCTCTGTGTCTCAATGATACTGCCAAACTGGAATTTGTAGTAGTTGGGCACCTAAATACTTCCCACAATCTGGTTTAGATATTTGGAAAGTATAGTAAATGGACTCTGTTAAATACTCATCACTTCTACTGCTATGTAAAGGTGTTCAAATGCTGCAGGGGATGCTGACTAGACTGTCTTTTCCTGGTGATGATCAGGATTGTATT